CCTGAATCCTGATTATACAATTCATTTGTTTCCCCAACAGATTGAGAGTCGTCCTTTGCGTAACCAACCTCTAAGAGCATCAGATGATAGCAACAATTCCAAGTATAATTACTGAAAATCATAGCTACTGATCTTTTTCTGAACTCAAATACATGCATCATTTAAACTTATTAGTCAAAAACTTAAAATCATTATTATTGTTGTCTGCTAAAAGGTTATATTGTTGATGATTGTCGTGCTGAACTGCTGAGCATAGTTCTTATCTTATACAGGTACTTTGATTATCTTTTCTATGTTGATTTTGAAGCATCAATGGCTGATCAGAGTGCACAAAATGCCCTAAGGCATCTAAAGGTGTGCTTTAATTTAATCCTTCAAAGCACATTGAAAGCATTACTTGAATAGACGTTCTAAAACTGATACACTTTACAGGAATTTGCTACATTCTTGCGAGTGCTAGGGAGCTATCCTGTGGACACCAGCACGTAAATAATCTTCAAAAGATGTGAGTGCCATTTTTCTTAATAATTTTCTTGGAGATTAACCTAGCAAGTTTACTGAATCTAAATGACCTCCAATTTTGGAAATTTGGTACTATACCTCGATTGTTATTGCAAACTGCATGGAACTTTATACATCGTTGCTCTTATGAATATGATATAGTTGCATTCGATGCAAATCTTTTCTGGATATCGTGTCAAATTGTCTAAATTGTCGTGCTTGAACTTCATCAATTCTCTCATATTGGTTCTATTGTGTACGAGTTTACCAAAACCATACTACATGGTGATCGTTAAGAAAATGGTTCAGTGTCTGCATTTCTTGTCCCAGTAATCCCTGATTCCCTGTTGCTTCTGCTCGAATTCCATTATTCTCTCTCTCTTGGTTTGGTTACAACTCTGCATCTTCCCCCTCCTCACCCTCCTAGAAAAAGAAAAGAAAATAGAAAAAAAAAAGAAGAGAGATGTCCCATGTTAATAACAACAATTTTGCTCTCCCGATAGATGTTTGTGGCACTGCTTAAATTGAAGTGGCGTGATGTTGCTATTGGATTATTGCTTTTGCTGGGAATAAAATCTGGACATTTACTTAGTTTGTTAACATGTATGTTAAGTCTAATGTGTGGCTTATGCTAGGTTTTTTATTTTGTAGTTTTCTTTTTTGACTTATTTGCTGTATACTTTTGTTGATGCAGGACTCCTAAGTATAATTACTGTTGTTTGCGGTTGTCAAATCATGTTAATGAATGTAGAGAGCTTACGTTGTTTCTATACAAAATATAAACAAAAAGTTGTATCAAATGTACAAGGTTCTTAAAATTTTGATGGGCCTCCGTTGCCCTTTATTTTCTCACAGCTAGCTAACAATGAATAGACATTTTCCCCCTACGTTAGTTCAAATATTTATTTTCATTGTTCTTGCTCTCAATTTTCGCGTGATGTTTCCACAATGTTCTGGCCTAAATGTGATAATGCCACGGGGACACAGTATTCAGATGGTACCTAAAACTAAAAGGATCCTGCATTTCCTCTAGCATTGACTATTTTTCAAGTAGTCATGATGTACTATTGTAATAATGTTGCATGGTAGATGGCACACATGATAATCACATAGACCGGAAATATGAATAAACTTTGGAGTGAAGGAATTAGAGTCCGTTAATATGAGCATAACTCACTTCCAAATTTAACGTAAGCATTTTTAATTCAAGTTAATATCAAAGTAAAATCAAATCTGAGAAAATCAAACTAGCGTACGGATAAGAAAAAAGTAATTGTTCTACGCCTTGTAATTAAGTGATATATCAGTGCTCACAGACTCTTAAAATTGCATTGTAACGAAGAAAAAACTGAGCAATGTAAAGGATTTCTTACAACTAACCAAAATGTATTTATTGCGAAATTAACATCTAAATGCTTAAGCTTCAGCAGTGACTGGGTAGTCAAAGGCTCAAACGTAAGGTTCAAACAGACTTGACACACTTTTGTTTGGTTTGAGTGAATTAGGAGGGAGTGATTTAAGTTAGAAGGATTTAGAAAAGAAAAAAAAATCATTTCCTTTGTTTAGTGAGTAATTAAGAAAGAAAGTAATAAAAATCTGTTTCACTGGCAATATTACATTTCTTTCCAACACATCCATGATTTCGGATGGAAATGGAAGAAAGTAATTTGCAAAAAAAAATTTCATTGAATACAACCGCGGTGATTGAAAACAGAAAAATTGTCCCCTTTTGCAAATTCTATATTTTTTCACTGGAGATTAAAAAAATACACCCACCCGTGCTTAACCATAATTTTATACTAAAACAGTTTTTGAATTTAATTAAATACGCGATGTTAAAAAAATTAATTAAATAAGATAAATTATAGCATCGTAAGAATAATTTTGTTAACGTAATTAGTTATTTTATGTTTTATGACATTTTAATTAAAAGCTTAATTAAATAAAAATAATAAATATAACCCACATTAATATACGCAACTTATGTAATACTTATTATGCATATTATTGAATTAAATTAGGTTTTAAATTTAATTACATGGATAAAATTAATTTTTTTAGTGTTTCTCATTTCTTTCCATTCACTTTTTCACATACCAAATAAATAAATAAATAAATAACCATTTCATTTCATTTTTTTTCTAATTACATCAATCCAAACAATACAAAATTTCACTTCAAAATCACTTCAATTAATATCCCCTCAATTTCACTTAGTATCTAAAGTCTAAACATAGTGTAAATCAAAGTCTTCTCACCAATCAAGATATAGAAGATGCTCAAACTTAAATTCAATACTTAAAATAAGAAGATGTATTTTAATCTGGAGCATGTTGATCTCAATGTCTTGCCATTAGATCTCTGATCAAGGCCAGGATCTCGCCTCGCATGCTGGCAACGACAGATGGAGAAACCTGTTCCTTCACGACAGAAAACCACAGATCATTTGTATCAGTATTTTTATGATTTACATGCCAGCTACATATTATTCTGGCAATGGCTGTGACATATAAACCACAATCATAGCCATTCTCTTGTAGGGGTGAATCAGTGCATTCCATAAAGCTGGCCTCAGAAGCTGAGCTTGATAACCCCATGTATCCAGAAACAGCTTTATATAGTTGCTTGGCAGGTGCTGCATTCATGCTTCTGCAACTATCATGGTGAACAAACAAATTAGCATTGCGATAGTATGCAAGTAAGCTCCAATGTGAACCACCTTCAGCTCTCTCAACATCATCATTGTCATTGATGGGAAATATAACCAATGTCTTATCAGATAAATGAAGGGGTTCTATGAAATCACTAAGAGCCTCAGCGACAGGGCATTTTAAAATCCAAAATGCAATGGATGGGGGAACCAGCAGAGTATCCTGAGAGGGATGACATGAAGAAAGATAGCTGAAATAAAACTCAATAATTCGATCATTCAAATAATATGGACCACTAAGGATGTCTAGATCCGATCGTCTAAGAACCACATCATTGTAGCTGAGAATCTTCTCATCTGCTTGTGATTTCCCCATCAAGTATATAGAAAAACCTGGTGAAAACAAATTAGGATAAGTCTTGGCTAGATATACAACTTTCAGAGGAAAAGAAAAGAACATGCACGCAAACACACAACCAATACTTAAATTTCAAGCTCTAGTTTAGGTAACACAACATGCAATGCCTAGGTTTTGTCACTTGGGTTTTTCTACACACCCTCATTTATTACTGATCATTAAAACCATGGTTGTCAATTTTTCCAGTTCAAAGTTGAAAATGCTCTCTTCAGACATCCCAATTTCTAACGGTATAATCAATTACATTGAATATGCAACCGCAGCAAAAATAAAATAGAAAACCCAAAAACGAATTCACAAGATAAATCATCGACTGCTGCATAGATGTGTATTAATCTAGCCTTGGACTTTCATTCTATAGCAACTCGAAAGCATTTAATCAAGTCGAACGGGATCGGTGAGGAATGGTTCAAACATTTTTCACCATCAACATTTAACTGATTGAATCCAAACAATAAGTAACTAATCTCCTTACCTGCTTGTTAAAACTTATCTTAATTTAAGTTCATCCTCCGTCCTATCTCCGCCGTCAATCTCCGCCGTCGGACGCCGTGCCGTCCCTCAACCTCACACTTCACCCAAAACGGTACCGTAACCTCGGATTTTGGTCCCTTATATTAATTATTTGTTTTAATTTAGTCCTATTTTTATTTTTTGTTTCAATTTGGTCCCAAACTAATTAATTAGTTTCAATTTAGTTCCAAATTAATTAATTGGTTTCAATGTGGGGCTTCCGTCCAAATTATTTAAACGGAGTTAACTTTTGGTCATGTGGATATCACGTATATGCATACGTGGATGCCACGTGGATGACAATTTTTTTGAAAATACCTGGACCCAGAACGACCCTTTCCAAAATTGAGAATAAAATATTCTTTGCTTAATTGTGCTTTTGATCGCTCAAGTATTATAATTATGCAATTTTGATCCTTAAGGTTTTAATTGAGTAATTTCAGTCCTTAAAAGATTACAGTTGTGTAATTTTAGTCTCATAACTTTAATTAAACAATTTTAATCTCTCAAATATCATAATTGTGCAATTTTAGTATTTCTTATTAAAAATTTAATAATTTTAAAATTTTAATATATATATAATTAAATAAGCAAACAATTATATAATTTTAAAATTTTAATATATATATATATATAATGTTTTAAAACTATATAATTGTTTCAGAACGGGCCGTTCTGGTTTCAGATGCATGAAAAAATTAAGCATCCACGTATGCATCCACGTCCACATCCAAGTGGCGTCCACGTCACCAGGAGTTAACCCCGTTTAAATCATTTGGACGGAAGTCTCAAATTGCAATAATTTAAATTATTAGAGACCAAATTAAAATAAAAAATTAAAATGAGATTAAATTAAAACAAAAAATATTATAAAGGACCAAATTAAATTTTTAACCTTATTTATTTTTAACCTTATTTATTTGTCACCTACTATTTACTACTTATTATCTATTACATGTTACGCTCTACATATTGCCCTTTACTTGTTATTTGTTATCTGTTAAGGGGCAATAATAATAGATAACAAAATAACAAGTAATAAGTAATAAATAAAGGAAAATAAGTGACATGTAATAGATAATAAATAAAATATAACAAATAATAAGTAGAATATAACAATAGTAGATAACGAGTAACATAATCAATAAGTGGGGGAAATAGGTAACAAGTAACGATTAAGAAATATCATCTTGCTGCTAGGGTAGTTTGGTGGGTTGCAGACAATAATAACTAGTGTTCATGTTTTTGTATATTTATTTTAAAATAACAAATAAAAATTGACAGTTATGAGAAAGAGAATGAGAGAAAAAAGCAGTTGAAGAGTGACAATGAATGATTTTAAAAACAATAATGAAAGAGAAAATAAAATGTGAAAAAACTAAAGGTAAAATAAAGTTATTAAAACATGCCTGCATTTATTTATAGGTAGGTATATATAGATACAATTATACATGTTATTTTCTTTCGTTTTTTCATAGAACATAATAATAAATAATAATACTCTGCCTGTAAAAATTTAATTTGCTTCGACACATATAATAAACACGTGTGACGAGGATATAAAGAGATTCGACTATAGAAAAGCATGAGCATTAGCTATGGGAATTCTACCACAACAGCAATGTTTATATTTTAGCGAATCAGATTCCGTGGAAGAAAATGTGAAAATTTTCCAATTCTAATCTAATGCAAAATGGCATTGGCAGTTGCGAAAGGGAAACTGAAGCAGAGTGCTCAAGTTTAACAAACCAAAACAAACGCTCCCTTCAAATTCAAACAAAGCCTCACATCACACCACACGCACGCAAGCACTCTCACAGAGAAACGGTTTTCTCAGATCTGCACCCGAAGATCCATTCCCGGGAAAATGGTTCGCTTCATAGAAGACTTGCCGCCAATGGATCTGATGCGCTCCGAGATGATGACGTTCGTCCAGCTCATCATCCCCGCCGAGTCCGCTCACCGCGCCATCACCTATTTAGGCCAACTCGGCTTCCTTCAATTTCGCGACGTAACTTTTTTCTCACTTAGATCCAATCTTCGTTCCTTTTTTTCAAATTGCGTTTTCTTGCTTTTCGCGCCTTTTGTTATTCGTTTTCCGGAAATGTCTTTGTCTGCATTAGTTTTGGCTTTGTTCGAGTCGAGTGCGTGAAGTTTCTTGCGTTTCGCTCGGGAAATGATTGACGTAGCATGCGGCATTGCTTGAATTCGTGTGTTTTGAGTTCAGGAATGTGGTGCTAGTGCGGGATTTGTTCGCACGCGTCGTTCTCTCTTGTTGTTTGTTGCGCGTGATTGATTTGGAATTGGATTTTTGATGCTGGATGCTTCACGCCAATAGTTTATACGAAATAGGATTCTACATTGTATGTTGATGAATCTAGTTACGGTTTGAGAGATTGGTTGATGAACAGTTTTGTTGCATTGTTGCTTACGTTTAATTTTGTGTTTAAAATGTAGAGAAACTCACTTTAGAGGATAAACTGAGTTATCTCGGTTGTTGATTGGAAAATAATGGATGTAGTAGAATATCGAATCCACTCTTTAGATTACTCATTTTATCTTTACTCGCTTTAGAGGTTTCCAATCCACAAAACTAAGCTATTTTTGATAAATAGCTTCTCAGGTTACACAGACTTCCTATTTTTATTGAAGGTGGGTTATACTATATACTTTGTTGTTGAAAACTTGAAATTCTGAAAGGTCTTGTTTACTTTTCTGAGTTTCTCATTTTCAGTCAGTGTGGGACTTAAAATTTTCCAACACTTGTCTTGTATTGGTGAGGATAGGATGGTTTCGGTTTGGGTTCTAACTTCCAAATGAGATTGCTGCTCTCTGTTCACTGTCATGCATTGTTCTTTGTAGCATATAAATTTAGGTTCAGAAGGCGGCTAATTTTAGAAACTTGCTAATGTGGTTTCCTTTTTTACTTATATTGTGCGGCTATGTGTATGTGCTACTGATAGTGGTAAATCCTATTGGTAATCAAGGACAAAATGATGTCACTAATGAATTGTTCACTGTGCCCGTAGTCATGTTAGAGAACTATAAAAGGGTGATCTAGTGCACGAGTTTCTCGCCTAATAGGGTTTGGAGAGGGTAGATGTATGCCACCTTAACCCCACAAGGTGAGAGGGATCTGACCGTGAGACCTCCAAGTCACAAGGCAACAACCATAGAAGGACTCATGGGGGCAAGCAGGGGCCATGCAGCCCTTCCATAAGTCTTTGAGAATTGATATATTATTATGATTTAATCAATATTAAATGATTTATAACTCTGATTATATTACTAAAAAGAATATGCTGATTAATTTTTTCTATACTTCTCTATCTATGTTTTTTATGATGCATATACTATTGTAGTTGTAGGTGAATTTTATGATATATTTAACTATTATAATTTAATTTATTATTAATATTTTCTGGCCTCCCCTTAAATAGATTTCTGGATTTGTCCCTCGGAAGTTGAAGCAATTGTTGTACACAAATCAAGAAAAATTAATAAACAAATGAAAGAGAATACTACAATTTTACAAAATTATGTGAAATTAACTTTTCATTGCTAGAAACGATGTAATACAACAACTTTCTAAAAAATATTACCCCTGTTCCATAATGACTGCATTTCAAAGTTTCTACACACAAATTAAAAAATACAATAAATTTATCATTTTTTGATGTAATTTTGCTAAAATAACTCACTCTATTGATAAATACTTGAAAATTGAGAACATTTCCCGCATACTAAAACTGCAGTCATTTAAGACTGTGAGTGTTAAGAGTATAAATAAAAAAGAAGTAATTAATACTGTATTGAAAAACTAAAATGATACTTATTTTGAGACATTTTTTTTTATCTTACACAACACCTATAATGGGACGGAAGAGTATTACTATAGTTATTTTTCCCGTAATTAGCATCTTTTTTGCATATGAGGATTCTTCTTAGAAGCTGTTTCTTTATGTGATTATGAGAAAAGAATGCTTCTTAGAATTGTTGTACATCTACAGAATTGTAGCTCTTTCGGCTCTAGAGTCTGGTGGATCTAAATATATATGGATATTGGATAAGCAAAAGCTTTGATGCTAATGTTCAATTCGGGTCTATTTTCTCATACATTACACGGACAGACTAAAAGTGGGGGTGTTATTTAAAGTTCCAGGAATATATATTCTTTGCAATATCATATATAATGATGTATCCTATTATAAATGATATTTTGGGTGGCAACTTGCAGGTTTGTTTGAGTGTTGGGAAATGTTTTTAGTTTGTTTCAACTTTTTTCCTTAGCTGTCATATCTTTCTAAAATTTCTGGTTCCGGTGTTGATGGTATAAAATTTTTCTGGAGATTAATCACTGCATTTCTTATGGATTCTATTTTCTTATCTGTAGTTAAATGCTGAAAAAAGCCCCTTCCAGAGAACATTTGTTAACCAGGTAATCTACACTGCGCTAATTATTAGAAACCCTATTGCATTTTGAATGCCCTTAATTTTGTCCCGTTTTGGAATGGTAACTATCAGTATTATTTTTTATGTTAGGACTTAGTCTGCAGTTTGGATTTGAGGTTATTTTATGGGGCCAGATATTATGACACTATCTTCTCAATTTACTAGTTAGAAAAAAATTTGAAAATATCTTCTATTAAGTACATAGTTTATAGTTTATTTCATGTTAAAGAGATTATTATTTTCCAAATTCTCTAGATTGATATCTATATGCGGGCACACACACACACATATATATATATATATATGAGAAGAGATCTTTTTACTCCAGGGGTAAGTCTACCTAGACTTATTCCGTTTAATAACTCATATTCTACATCAAATTTCAACGATCCAACAATTCAATTTAAAGTTCTTAATGCATAGATCAAATCTGTAAATTTTTAGAAAATGTGAAAATCATTTTATACTTCATTTCATTAATTCGAGTCAATGTATAAAATGATTTTATGATTATCCGTCAATTTAAATTAATGAAATGAAGTATCAAATGATTTTCAAGTTTTCTAAAAATTTGCAGATTTGATCTATGCGTTAAGAACTTTAAATTGAACGGTTGGATTGTTGAAATTTGATTTAAAACATAAGTTAT